TGCAGCCCCCGCCGCGCTCGCTCCTCCCTCGCCGGCCCTCCCCTTCCGCCGGCCCGCCTCGGGCCCCCGCCCCGGCCGCCGCTTCCTGCCCGCCTCTCCAGCCAGGCCAGCCTCGCCAGTGCGCACGCCTGGAGTGGCCTTGCCAAGCGCCCGGGCCCGGGGGGTGAGAGTGTCCCTGAGCACACGCAGAGAGCTTTTGGGGGGGAGGAGGGGGCCTCCTCCAGGTACTAAGCCTCATTCCGATTCAGCCCCCCCCCCGCCCGTGTTTCCGAGCAGGTGCGGCAAGCTTGTGCCACTTGGAAGCCTCTCCCAAGGCCAGCCGTTTCCAGAATGCCTGTCCGAATGCCTTTTCTTGCTCCCCGCGAACGGAAGAGGGGACCTCTGAGCTCGTGTAGAGTGCCTTTCTCTTGACCTCTTCAAAATCCCAGGCTTTCCTAGGCATAAAAGCCAAAGCTCCTTCCTGCAAGCCTCGACCTGCTAATTCGAACCCACAGTCATGGGAGGGGGGTTTTCCTCCAGGAACAGTAGAGCAAGAGAGCGCCTCTGAGAACAGGCAGAGTGTCTTGCCCTCCCTACGGAATTTGCCTTCTAGCTGCCAAGCAAGGTGAATATGGGACTTGGTTTAGTAACATATTGTATTTACATGATAGTCCGTGTTTCTTGGTGGGAGCTGCAGTGGCTCAGGTGGTTAAGACGCTGAACTGCAGGCGCAGGCTGTGGAAGGTCGGTAGTTCAGCAGTTCGAGACCCCAAAAGCAAGAAATTGCAAGTAGATAAATAGCTACCACTTCGGTAGGAAGGTAACAGCGTTCTGTGCGCCTTGGTGTTTAGTCATGCCGGCCACATGACCACGGAAACGTCTTCAGACAGCGCTGGCTCTTCGGCTTTGAAACGGAGATGAGCACTGCAACCCTAGAGTCGGATTCCACTGGCTTTCAAGCAAGGGAACCTTTACCTTGTTTCTCAGGGGCAGTCAAGGCAGATGACATGTAGTGAACCAGTACAATCAAAAAACAGAGCATTTGGATTTTAGAAGTCTGCAACCACCAGAAGCAACCGAAGCATTAAAAAAAAAAAACACAAACCCTATTCCAAAGAGCTGCGCTTTGCAAAATTGTGGAGGGGAAAGGAGTGCACCCTCCAAAATTAATTTTTAAACAGCTCCTCCAAAGGAAAGAATGTCCATGGGGCTACAGGCCTATTTCAGCAAAGGGTGGAGGCCTCATTTTGCCAATATCCATCACTTGTTGTCTTGTGTAAGGGGGTCAGCTGGGTGCTTGCGTGCTTGAGTGGTTCAGTCACTGGAAACGCAGGACTCTTTATTAAAAAAAAAAGGCCTTTCAGCCACTCACGGACACACACACACACACAGCGTGGAACAACTGAATAATAGCTGCCGATTGATTCCATTACAAATCATCCTCTGGAAGATAAACTAGGAGAGAGCCAAGCGCTCAGGGCCTTTTTGCATTTGGACAGGGCAATGTAGTAATCCTGTATAACAACGGAGAATATCACGGGCAAAAGTAGAAACAAAGATAAGGAATAACCGTGAAACAATAACTAAGCAATGCAAACAACTATATTCGAAATAAACTTATACCACACAAGAATCCTCCACATGTTCAATAGAAAAACTCTCAGTCAACATGCAACACTCAATTCAATCATAGTCCAATAAAGGTACAATGAAAATTAAAGTTCGCCAATGTTTAGATTGCTCTGCGCCCCCAGTTAGTGCATTTGCAATATGCAAGCTTCCAATAGAGACGTTTCCAAATATTCCAACTTCAAACGTCGAGATGTGATAAATAGCAAATTGTTCACTTCCCAGTAGGGATCATTTCCTGCAGGAGTGCACAGGAGCAGAGCTCTGGCAGTAAAAGGCCCAGGGGGTGGGCACATGCAACAAGCCCCACCCCCTGCTCCCAGCAGCCCTCAGTCAGAGCAAGAAGCAGCCAGGTAGGTTGCAGAGCTCCCCCAGGCCCCCCGCTCCAAAACGGTCCAGTGGCACCTTTAAGACCAAGTTTTATTCAGGTACAAGCTCTCCCTCCTCTGCGAGGACAGATCTGCACGTCCCCCCCCCCCAATAGCTAGCAATCTAAAACAGTCCAGTGGAGCCTGAGCGGTGGGTGTTGCCTTCTGACACACTTCTGGTGATGTCAGGGGGTGTGGCATATACAGATAAGTTATGCTAATGAACTCCACCTCTTTTTCTACAAAATGACCCCTACTTCGCAGGAGGGTGCTGTGCGATTTCAGGGCCTTTTGTGTGTGGCATTTGCGCATAACAGTGTAGTAATCCTGGACATGCGCCTCTGAGACCATAGACTCACAGAGTTGGAAGGGGCCCTACAGGCCATGTAGTCTAACCCCCTGCTCAATGCAGGATCAGCCTAGAGCAGTGATGGCGAACCTTTTAGAGACCGAGTGCCCAAACTGCGACCAAAAACCCACTTATTTATCGCAAAGTGCCAACACGGCAATTTAACCTGAATCCTGAGGTTTTACTTTAGAAAAAACAACTCCTACATTAACTTAACATGATCCAAACAAAGTCAGGAAAGCGATCCCAAATGCTTTCATTTACTTAAAATTATTTGGCAGAGAATTCGACACTAATGATGGTCTGGGCCTGGCTGGGGCGATGGCAGGGGGGGCCACAGAGAGGGCTCTGAGTGCCGCCTCTGGCACCCGTGCCCTAGGTTCGCCACCACTGGCCTAGAGCATCCCTGACAAGTGTTTCTCCAGCCGCTGCTTAAAAGACTGCCAGTGAGGAGGAGCTCGCTCACCACCTCCCTAGGCAGCTGATTCCACTGTTGCATGACTCTTACTGTAAAAAAAATAATAATACATTCTAGTGTTCAGCTGGTATCTTTTTGCCCGTAATTCAAACCCATTCTTCCAAGTTATTAATATTCAGCCAGGCCTGCATCTGTCCTCAAACAGTATATTTCACACCCGCGGCATTGCTTGTTCACAGTTTCAGTCGGGGATGCCCGTGGTTTCATATTCACACATGATGCATTTCAGGCATCCGAGGGCAGAAGTGAGAATATCGGGTACAGATGGCGCCTTCGTTGTGAATGAATTTATGAACTGGTTTTAACTAGCTAGCTGATAGCCATGTGTCCTTAGCGTCAGCATTTAAAGTATGGGGGATTTTGATTCGAACCCGTTTTGCCAGCTTGGTGTAGTGGTTAAGTGCGCGGACTCTAATTTGGGAGAACTGGGTTTGATTCCCCACTCCTCCACTTGCACTTGGCTGGATGACCTTGGGCAAGCCGTAGCTCTGTTGTTGTTTTTTGTAAGGTAGTGAAAAGGACTCGGGGGCAGAAGGGGATGGCGGACCAAAGGGGATCCCCATATGGACCCTCCACTGCTGATGCGGGCACCTCTTAGCCAGTATGGTGTAGTGGATAGAATGAGAACATAAGAGAAGCCAATGTTGGATCAGGCCAATGGCCCATCCAGTCCAACACTCTGTCACACAGTGGCCAGAAATACCAGGTGCCACCAGGAGGTTCACCAGTGGGGCCAGGACACTAGAAGCCCTCCCCCTGTTGCCCCCCCCCCCAAGCACCAAGAAGACAGAGCATCACTTGCCCCAGACTGAGAGTCCCTATCTATACCTTGTGACTAAGAGCCAGTGATGGACCTCTGCTCCATATGCTTGTCCAATTCCCTCTTGAACCCATCCATGCTTGTTCGAATCCCCACTCTGCCATGGAAGCTCGCCGGGTGGCCTTGGAGTTAGTTTTGCTCTAACGTACCTAGCCTACCTCACAGGGTCGTTGTGAGGATAAAACGGAGGAAGGGGGAAGCTGAGGAGGAACACAGGGCATCAATTAAGTAAAGAAACACATTTGGAGCAGCCGTAAGAGCACAGGGGAGAATCGTCCGATGCAAAACTATCCGATCCTCGTCTCTCTGGAGCACAATTCCCAGGGACAAAGTCCAGCAGGAGGCGGAGGAGGCCGAGATGACCAGGGCTGCTGCTCTGAACGAAGGCCAAGGATCTATCTGCAGAGCAGCTGTTTGGCTCCGATCAATGTCCCTGTGTCTCGCACACCGATTTCCACACAGGCGTCTTCTCCTTTACAGCAGGTCGAATTGGCCCAGCCAAGCCAAATGGGTCCCCCGGGGGTGCTACGGCTCACCGCCCCACCACCTGCTCCCCTTCCCCACGGCTGTGTCTGCCGGTAACGATTGGGCTGACGCAGCACAGACGACGGACACCCTTCAACTTGTCTGAATCCCGCAGAAGATTCCGGGCTGCCGGATCATTATCGATCCAGGTTCCTGGTAAACTCTCTCGCAAACTAATAAGGCGTGAAATCTGACATTATGGGGGGGGGTTCACCAGGTCTTCCCTGACCACCACCCGGGGG